AGCTAGGGCCATCCAAGAGACAGAGACGCCAGGCCAGCCCGCCCCGTGCCGTTGCTCCCACGGGGAAACCGAAGACGGGGAGGCCCTGGGGCTGACCCCCCAGGACCGGGCAGCACAGGCCTCCCTGAGCCTCATCACGGCCAGCACCCTGGCGAGCACTGGAGCGCACAGAAGCTGGGGGTTTCGTGCCCATGGGCCCCGCTTGACCCTCGTCATCAGGGAGGGCTCGTGGAGCACCCACTTCTGCCTGGTGCCGCCAACCGCCTAGTGCCACCCCCTGCTGTCTACCTGCCTGCTAGAGGGCCACGTCCCCCAGGAGGCCTGCCTGGGCTGCAGGGCCGGTGACGCCCCCGATCCTGTCCTACGCACACATACGCACACGTGTGTGCACACACATGCTCAAGCATGCATGTGTGAATGTGCTGTGCACACTCATCCATAAACAATGCACATGTGTGCACACATGTGGACAACCCACAGGCACACACAGCACATGCTGGAGGACACGCACACACACTGGCACCTATGTATGTGGACCGCATGTGCAAACAAGCACATGCTCGCACAGATGTACACATGTATGTGCACGCGCATGCACATATGCAGCACATCCTCACGAGGTTGTGTTCTTGTGCACACAAGAACACACTTGCACACGGACAAAGGCACGCCTGCACGCAGACGCACGCACAGGACAAGCTCGTGCACAATCACACGTGCACACGTGCTCCCGAAGTCTTTCTCCTTCCGGGAGCTCTGCCCACGTGATGCCCAGCTGCTCCTCTTTACACACCCACACCCCCCGGCCTTTTCTGAGCCCGGATCTGCACCAGGCCCTGTCCCCTGGGTAAGGATTCAGAGCGAGAGCCATGAGCCCTGGTCAAGGCCAGGTGGGGGGGCCAGGGAGCTGTGCGAGGCCCTGTGGGGAGATGGAAGTCCCTCTCCCAGAACGTGGGCACCTGCCCGGGGCTCCAGGCCACTCAGACTCGTGCAGGCAGGGACCAGGACGGCCCCTCAGCCGATCCCCCCACAGAGGGGTCAGGGACAGCTACCCTGGGGACCTCAGGGGTGCATCAGGCCTCCCACCATCTGGAAGCACCCTCCTCCCCAGTGCAATCCGCTGGCCTGGGTGGGAGTCTTGAGACTCGGCCCCATGTGTCGCCGGATAAACATTTATTGGATATTTCCTGCCCGGCCCCAGCCCGTCTCCGCCAGCAGTGTGAGAACGTGGGGGGGTGGATGGGTGTGTGCGAGCCTCCGTGTGCGAGCGCATGAGTGTGCACCTGGAGTGTGAGCGGGGGTGAACACACTGCTGGCTCCCCTGCTTCGTCGGGGGGGGCGGGGCGTGTCGGTGAGCTTCCAGAGGCCCCACGGGCCGACTCGCAGGCACGCTCAGGAGATACACCTGGCATGAATGAACGAACAAATGAATGAACATGTGAGCGAAGGAACAAACTTATGCTTGGCTGGGAAGAGCATGAGGAAGGTAGGGCGGCGATTTGGGACCCAAGGAGGGACAGTGCCCAGCCCCGCTCCCTGCCCTGCCCGGAAATGCCTTTCTCTGCACCCACAAGGGGCCCCGGCCCTTGGTCGGCCGGCGTGCACCCTCTGGTCCTGTCCCAGGCTTTTAACTGCTCACGTGGGACGATCAGACGTTGTCGCCTCCACCGCCCCCATCTGCTGGCCCCGCAGGGACCCTGGTGGGGGAGATGGGCTGAGTGACAGCCCAAGCCCAGCCCGCTACTCCAGCTGTGTGCGCGCAAGCAGGTTGCAGCCTCTCTGGGCCTGTCTCGGTTTTCCCTCCCGTAACTGGGTTCTGGGGTGTGCCTTGGCTCCCCGGCTGCTCCTGCCACATGGACGTGACCCCATGACCCGAGGCGTGCAGGCTGGGCCGGGATGACCAGCGCGCCCTCCGTGGGAAGCTGCGTGAGGGGGAAGGAAGGCTGGCTCCAGACAACCCTGGGGGAGGGGGGATGTGGGGTGCCCCCAGAGCGGCTCATTGTGACCGGGGCTGCAGAGGAAGGAGGGAGGAAGTTGGGAGGGGCCTGCAGACCCCAATCAGGGAGGAGGTGGGAGCAGGTGGGGCCAAGGCCAGGCTCCCTAGTGCTAGGCCACCCCCTGGAGACCAGCATCTCCCTGGCTGTAATCGGTCAGTGCACGAGAGGCCAGCGAGGCAGTGGCCGCGACTGAGCCCTCTGGTGCGCCTGGCCCAGAGGCAGGCACTGAGGTCGGATGGAACAGGGCCTGGGAGGCTGTGCCGTGAGGCCGGGGCCTCTGACGACGCTGTGAGATTTCTGGGGCTGCGGAAGCAAAGCACCACTAACTCGATGGCTTAAAACAACAGACCTGATTCCCTCACAGGGCCCAGGCCGCCCAGGCCGCCGTGTCGGGCGCGGTGTGTCAGCCGCGGCGTGGGGTGTGGGCAGGGCCGCACTGCCCCTGAAGGCACTGGAGCGGACAGTTCCGTTTTGCCGGGCTTCTGGCTGGTGCTGGCAGTCGGTCCTCGGTGTTCCTGGGCTCGTGGCCACAACTCAACCCAGCATAAACTCCACGGACCTCTGTCCCGCACAGGACACGTGTGCTAGCGTGGTCCCCCAGGCCCCTTGGGTCGGAGGTGGCGTGGGGCGAGTGCTTCTGCAGAGGGAGCAGCGTGGGCCAAGGCCAGGAGGCAGCACCGGGGAGCAGACAGCTCAGCCCCCAGAGCAGGGGTCCCCCTGCCCCTCTGGTGACCGTCAGCTGTGCTCTGCTTCCCGGCAGCGTGCGACCCTCTACCCCCAGGCGGCCGGCCCTCCTCATCATGGAGGTAGGAGGCTCTGGGCTCCGCAGCCAGGAGCCGGGCGGCGGCCGTCAGTGGGCAGGGCCAGGCCGGAGCACAGAAAGAAGACACCCCTGGCGGGCCTGAGGGCCTGGGAAGCCCGCAGCAGGTGCGTCCCCAGCCTCCGCGGCCCGGCCAAGGCCGAGCTAAGGTTTCTCCAGCTGGTGCCGGGGATGGGCCAGGGCCTCCCCAGTGCGGGCCGGCCCGTGGCCCAGCTCCCAGGGGCCAGGGATGGGCTGAGGCCTCCCCAGTGCGGGCCGGCCCATGGCCCAGCTCCCAGGGTGCCATAGAAATGGCCTTTTGTTGGCTGAACAAAGCAGCTTTGAGCCAGGCCCTTATCTAGGGCTGCGGTGAGACGGGACACCACGGATGCGGGCGGGAGCCAGCATGGGCAGCCCACCGAGCCAGGAGGGGCAGGGAGAAGCTGCCGGAAGGGGCGGGCAGGGGAGTGAGCTGGTGCTGCTTCTGGCTATGAGGTCCACATAGGCTCAGAGGTATGCAGCAGGCCCATTGGGTAAGGCAGGCACAGCACGCACAGCAGGCACAGACAGACACAGGTGGGCACAGGTGGGCACAGGTGGGCACAGACACAGGTGAGCACAGGCTGGGAAGCAGTGGGAGAGCCGGCCTGCCCTCAGTGACAGGTGCCCGTGGGTCAGGCTGCTCGCCTTCGGCCCAAGTCCAGGTCCCTGTGCCGTCCAGACGCCCAACCCTGGGCACCTCGAGGGCAGGACCAGGAGGGATGCCCTTCCTGTGCCCAGCTCAGGGCTGGCCTACCAGTGTCCCAGGGACCTCAGGAGCTGACCCAAGTGGCAGGGTGAGGTGCCTCCCAGGGTCACGAGGTCAAGACAGCTCACTCCGCCCCACCCCTGAGGCCAGCTGGGACCGCCACTGCTGTCCCAGGAGCAACCGGAGCAGAGGACGGCCGGCTGTGGGGGACAGAATGGGGTCAGCCACAGGGCTGGCCCGACCCCCACCCCCGACATGGGGGAAACACCACAGGTGGCCTGGTGCCTGCGAAGGCCGAGCCGGACACAGACGGGTCATCGCGCTCCTTGCCCTGGAGGCCCTGCCCCGCCTCCTCCCTCCGCAACCCTGTCTCTG